TTTCCTTCCTTCTGCCAACCTTGAGTTTATTCTGTTTTTCTAGTTTCTTGTAGTGTAGTTAGGCTATTCATTTGAGGTCATTCTTCTTTTGTAACATAAGCATTTTTGAGCTGCCTTGTCTTGTGTGAAAATTTTTGACTTACAGTTTGTTTTGTCTGACCCAAGTTTGGTCAGCCCTGCTGTCTTTTGGTTACCATTTGCTTGGAACATCAACTTCAGCCTTTCACTTTCAGCCTGTATGTGTCCTTAAATCTGAAACTAGTCTTTTGTTAACAGCATATAGTTATAACTTGTTTGGTTGGTTATATGGTTTTATTCCTTAGATTGGGGTGAGGAGTTAATCTATTTTACAGTCAAAATAGTTAACTGTTAAGGAAGGTGTTAGTATAGCTCTGTTAATTATTTTCAGTATGTTCTGTAGCTATTTTATACCTATTTTTTCTCCCTTAATTACCTGCCTTTTTGTGTTTTGCTGCTCTTTACTTTTTGTAGTGACAAGGAATAAAATAATGCTTTGAATTCTTTCTGTTTTTGTTTTGTGTGTCTTCCATGGTTTTTTTCTTTGTAGTTACCAAGGGGATTACATAAATTATCTTAAAGTGAAAACAGTCTGTTTTCAACTGTTACCTGCAGTTGCATTGCCATATTCTCTCAGACCAATTTTGTTATTGATGGCATACATGAATTTTTTTTATTGTGTATCCTTTTACATTGGTTTATGGTTATATACATGCTTTTGTGATTTAAGTTCTATACCAGATTTAAAAGTGATTTATATACCTTTGTGATCCAGGATTCTCTTTATTTCTTTGTATATTTACTTTTATCAGAAAGCTTTATGTTTTCTTTTTTTTTTTTCTTTTTTTTAGAGAAGGGGTCTCGCTGTGTCGCCCAGGCTAGAGTACAGTGACACCATCTCAGCTCACTGCAACCTAGGCCTCCCGGATTCTAGCAGTTTTCCTGCCTCAGCCTCCCTAGTGACTGGGACTACAGGCATATGCCGCCACACCTGACCAATTTTTTTGTATTTTAGTAGAGACGGGTTTTCACTGTTGCCCAGGCTGGTCTCGAACTCCTGAGCTCAGGCAGTCCCCTCTCAAAATGCTAGGATTATAGGCGTAAGCCACCATGCCCAGCCAAACTTTTTATTTTCATATGGTTTTGTGTCTGACATCCTTTTGTTTCATCTTGTAGGACTTCTTTCCGCATTTCTTGCAGGGCAAGCCTAGTGGCTTTGCTTACCTCGGAAGGTCTTATCTTTTTCTTTAATTTTGAAAGATGGTATTCTTGTGAGGACTAAACACTGATTATTATCTTGTCCCAATCCCTATCTAAAGGATCTGGGAGTTATGCCCTACAAATGAGCATGACTAATCATCAGATGAGTTTTATTTAACCCTATATTTCACGACTGACTTTCCAGTCTGACTCTGGGATAACATTACGAGACAATGAAGAAAATAAAAATATTTTACTCCAAAACATTTTTGTTTGCTGTATTTTGAAATGACCCTGCGAAGCTCTTCTTTGTGGGAATGGGGGAAATCTGCATCTGTAAAGAATCTCTGTTAAAATTGTTACATCTTTTTCTTCCAGACCCTCCCAATCCTAAAGAGAGAAACTAAAATCTGAATAAGAAACATTGATCATCTATTGTCTCTAAGGGCAGCCACTTTAAGACTTCAGAAGAACTTTGGTCTACATCATCTTTTATCTTAACCTGAGCATTCCGTTTCCCTTCTTACCAATCCCAGGCAAACTCAAACTTCAACGAGAAAAATATTTAAATTCACCAATAGACTAGACCCGATAACCCCCACAACCCTGTTTTTTCTGGACCAAACCAGTGTATTTCTTAAATGTATTTGATTGATGCCTCATGCTTCTCTAAAATGTATAAAACCAAGCTGTGTGCCCTGACCACCTTGGTTACATGTTCTCAGGGCCTCCTCCTAAGGGTTGTGTCATGGGCCATGATGACTCATATTTGGCTGTTTGATAGTTAGCCTCTTTTAGTTGTCACTTGGTTGACAGTTTGTTCCTTTGAGCACGTTGAATATGTCATCCCACTGTCCTCTGGATTGCAGAGTTACAGCTTATCTAGCAGGAGTTCCCCCGTAAATCATGAGTCACTTTTTACCTGCTGCTTCTAAGATGCTTTCTTTGTGACTCTTGACAGTTTGATTATATTGTCTCTTGATGTGTATCTCTTTGGGCTTGTCCTAGTTGGAGTTCAGCTTCTTGAATTTGTATGTCTGTCTTCTTTCTCACAATTGGGGAGCTTGGGCCATTATTCTTTTCTAGTAGGCTTTTTGCCCCTCCCTGTCTTCCCCCCAAATCCCGTTCTCATTTTCTCTGTTTCTGTCTATTCTCTTTCTAGGACTCTTGTAATTTGTATATTGTTCCTCTTGATAGTGTCTCCTCCTCCCTGTCTTAGGCTTACCTTTATTATTACTTTTTCCTTTTTGTGCCTCTGACTTGTTAATTTCAATGGCCTGTCTTCAAGTTTGCAGATTCTTTCTGGATCTGTGAATTTTTAAATTCAGTTCAGTCGTATTCAGCTCCAGAGTTCGATCCTTTTTTTGTGGGTTTCCTTTACATTGTTGATAATTCTTACGTTGTTTATGGGTTGTTTTCTGATTTTGTTTGTATCTGTGTTTCCTTAGTTTGATGTGCATCTTTAAGATGGTTAGTTTGAGGCCGGGCGCGGTGGCTCAAGCCTGTAATTCCAGCACTTTGGGAGGCCGAGACGGGCGGATCACGAGGTCAGGAGATCGAGAGACGATCCTGGCTAACACGGTGAAACCCCGTCTCTACTAAAAAATAGAAAAAAAATAGCCGGGCGAGGTGGCGGGCGCCTGTAGTCCCAGCTACTCGGGAGGCTGAGGCAGGAGAATGGCGTAAACCCGGGAGGCGGAGCTTGCAGTGAGCTGAGATCCGGCCACTGCACTCCAGCCTGGGTGACAGAGCAAGACTCCGTCTCAAAAAAAAAAAAAAAAAAGATGGTTAGTTTGAATTCTTTGGTAATCATTTCTTCAGGCTCATTTTTCTAAAGAAATATAGTCACCTCTTCCAGTCTTCACCAAGTATCTTCATACAGGGAGTATAACCTTCACCACTCAGCCAGGCTAGAGGTTTTAGGGATCTCAACTCAGGGCTTGCATGTGTACTTCCTTGGCTGTGCTTTTCTGAAGCCCCTAACATCTTGCTTTGCCTGATGCCTGTCTGTGATACTATGGCCTCTCTGCTATTGTAAAAACTGTCTTGTAAAACCCAGCTCCCACCCCAATCCCTGCATGTCTTTTTTTTTTTTTTTTTTTGAGATGGGGTTTCATTCTTGTTGCCTGGGCAGTACTGCAATGGTGTCATCTCAGCTCACTGCAACTGTCGCCTTTCAGGTTGAAGCGATTCTCCTGCCTCAGCCTCCTGAGTAGCTGGGATTATAGGCATGTGCCACCATGCCTGGCTAATTTTGTACTTTTAGTAGAGATGGGATTTCTCCATATTGGTCAGGCTGGTCTTGAACTCCCAACCTCAGGTGATCCTCCCACCTCAGCCTTCCAAAGTGCTGGGATTACAGGCGTGAGCCACAGTGCCTGCCAATTTTTGTAATTTGTAGTAGGGACAGTTTCATCATGTTAGTCAGGCTGGTGTTGAACTCCTGACCTCAGGTGATCTGCCTGCCTTGGCCTCCCAAAATGCTAGGATTACAGGCATGAGCCACCATGCCTGGCTTTTTTTTTTTTTTCCGAGACAAGAGTTTTGCTCTGTCACCCAGGCTGGAGAGCAGCGGCATGATCTCGGCTCATTGCAACCCCTGCCTCTGAGGTTCAAGCATTCTACTTCAGCCTCCCAAGTAGCTGGGGTTACCAGGTGTGTGCCACCATGCCTAGCTGTGATCCATTGCAGTAGAACATGTTGTTTTCACATACTGCTTTGTTCATAACCTTCATCTCACTTCAGTGTTTGGGACTTGTATTAGAGCTTTTCACAGTAGACCCACTCGTCCAGTCTTCTCTGTTTATCATCTTTTTATCTTTCTATAGTGCATCATGAACAGTTCTTTTCAGCACCTTCTGTTTTTCTCATTCTCTCTTCAACCAACTGTAGACATGTTTCTTTAAACCCTTTCCTTTCCATTCTTAATTTTGGTAACCACATTTTTCATTATTTGTTTGATTTTCGAATCCAGTAGGTTACTCTGCAAAGGTGGGCTTCTTGTTGATTTGTGTTAGTTTTATTATGTTTTGTTTTTGCTCTTACCCTTGTAGACCCTTTCAGGACAGTTACAAGTTCTGCATTTGGTTTGATTCTGTGTTGAGGGTGGTGGTCTTTATCATGATGTCTTAGTTCCTTCCATGCTAGATACTACATGTAAAGTACTGACACATACAAGAATAGTATGTGGTCAAGACAAGGTAGCCGGCGCCCTATATAGTATGTTTATAATAGATGGTTATGTCCCACAAAAATAACTCTAGATATCTGAAACAAATGTATTCTTCCTGGGGCCGCCTGAGAGCCCTTAGAACGTTGGAAGATTCCTCCTCGAAAGACTGGATTAGCTAGCCATCCAGTTAAAGGCCTTTCGTTGTTGTCTAGTGCCTTTCTTATAGCCTGAATTTCTCCAGTTCTCCCTCCCTCTCAGTCATCCTCATTATCTCTCCACCCATCCACCTACCCAGTGCTGCTCTATGCTGTCTTTGTCAACCCCAAAATGATTATTTATTCAACCTTTGAAGAATTATTGTTGGACAAACAATGCAGGGGAAGCTTATGATTTGAAAAATCCTTAGGGGCTTGCCTTTAAATGATGACTGCAGTGTAATTCACAAATAGCATTCATTTACAGTGACAAGAGTTCTTGAAATTACAATTTTGGGATGATGCTCCATTTTTGTTGCCTGGTGAGCCCATCTGTTTTAATTGGTTTTAAAGGCAGCAGGCTTCTGTCTGGTTTTAAAATGACTCCTCTCCTGTTTATTTTCCTTTCCCTCTAGGCAATGTGTGTATGGTGATTGGTGGAGCCAACCTCGGTCGTGTTGGTGTGATCACAAACAGGGAAAGACATCCTGGTTCTTTTGATGTGGTGCATGTGAAGGATGCCAATGGCAACAGCTTTGCCACGAGGCTTTCCAACATTTTTGTCATTGGCAATGTAAGACTTACACTCTCTTTACTTCTTTCTAAGAAGACTCACCCTAAAAAGCATAAAGACCTGCATCCGCTACTGGTGTTTGTCTGTCTGTTGTTGTTCTTGTGTTAAGGTTCACAGAGTGCAGCAAGCTTTCTATTTAGAGTCTCAGAGAAGAAACAAGATTAGATCTAGAGCCTTACGCCTGCCTCTTCAGGTGGTCTATGTGAGATGCCAGCAGTAGTCATGCAGTAAATTAAGTTAAACTCAGCCTTGCAACTTTTGCAGGGCTACACCAGTGGTATGGGCTGGATTAAGGCCACTGGCTGCAATCCTGGTAGTACCATGCCCCCTTACTTTTGTAACTAAGTCTGCTAAACCCCTCTGAGACTCCCATGATATAGCTCATCAGTGAACATGGTGGAATTTGATGCAAGGGGGCTATGAATGAGTTCCTAATTTGAGAATAAGAGCATTTACAAGGCATATAACACTCGTTAGTTTCCTTTACTTGTTCAAGATGATCTTGCTCTCGGATCTTTTGAGACCTTTTCAGTGAAGGAGCACCTCTAAAGTCATGCAGTATCCTTACATGGGAGTCAGTTACCCCAAGACTTAAGGAAAGGGCAAGGGACGTAATTGAAAAGCTTTTCATCAAGCTATTCAGCCCTGGGAGCAGCATCTTTCACTTGTACCCTGGCAGTCCTTAGAATATTTGAGAGGTGGTACAGAGGCGAAGCCTGCTGTTGTTTTTTTGGCTATGCCACTCAGCAGCTCTATAGTTGGTCCATTCCTTTTCTCGGTATTGAATTATGACACCTCAGTTTATATCTTTGAAAGCAAGGGATCAGGGAAGTGAGTAAATGCATGTAAAAGTTCTTTAAAGCTGATGATGGGGTGCTGACAGTTCATGACTTCCAAACTATGAGAACCTGAAGTTAGTGTCCTTGCCTTTAAAGATGCTTATGAAAAACTTGTTGGCTGGTTGCTTCATATAAAATAGAAGCAGGAAGACCTTTATTTAGCAGCTCAGCAGTGAGGAGTGGGAGGGAATGTGAGAGGCAGATAACCTCTCAGGAGACACGTATAAGGAAATCTTTTATTTTGTTTCAAATTTTGTTTGGCGGTGTTCTGTTAGCTGGCTCTTAATGTAAAGGAAGGTATGAGGCGTGTGTGTTTTGGTGGGATGTTGTTTTTCTCTCTTCCCTCTCTTTCTGTACTTATTTTATCTCCTTCTCAATTACAGGGCAATAAACCTTGGATTTCTCTGCCCAGGGGAAAGGGCGTTCGACTTACTATTGCTGAAGAGAGAGACAAGAGGCTGGCCACCAAACAGAGCAGTGGCTAAATTGCAGTAGCAGTGTATCTTTTTTCTTTGCCAAAATAAACAGTGAATTCTTGTTTCCTAATGTGTTTTTTCCCCCTTGTGGATAATAGTAGGGTTTGAATTTGCTCATGGTTTTGGCACTATCTTAAGATCTCTAGGAATACCACCTATACTTTCTCTGACCCTCCAGTAAGTAAACCTTTACTTCCCTCATACATGTTACCCACACCATCTCTGTGGGCAGAGTGATGGAGTAGCATTACAAACCAAGTACAAAAAGCATATGACGTTTCTGGTGCCTCAGAGAATGAGCATTAGTCGAAATCTTAGAAGAAACAAGTGTTTGTAAATTAGGGAGTTTAATTTTTCTTTACCAGGGACATGCTTTCCGTACCTCCCCCTCCCCCACCCCAGTTCTTTAGGTCAGAAGTCCAGCCTGTCTCAGAAAGGATGGCATTCTTTTGTGGAAGCTGTGGGCGATGGTCTTAGTTTCCTTGCTTGTTCACATTATTGGCAGAAATTAAATCCTATGGCTGTAGGACTGAGGTCCCTTTTTCCTTGCTGACTGGCAATCTGAGGGCTTTTCTCAGCTTCTGGAGGCCATGTGCATTCTTTGCCTAATGGTCCCATTTCTCCATCTTGTTCAAAGTCAGCAGTGGCAGGTCAGGTCCTTCATGTACAGAGTGTTTGGTCTTTGACCCAGTCAGGAATGTTTCTCCACTTAAGGCCCCATTAGAGTAACCTCTTATTCTCATGGATTGTCACTTTAATGTCATATTTATAGGATCTTTGGATACTGCTTTTCTTACCAGAAACCTCTATGGCTGGTGGCGCCTTTGCCTGAGTTTTATTTTGGCTTGCTGGGCTCGTTCTGCCCACTTGGCATGGCAGGCTAAGCTTGGTCTATAATATTATCTTAGATCCCATGCCTGCCAAGGGCAAGTCAGGCGTGGAACAGTTAGGGGTGTATGAGCAAGCATGGGGTCTGGCCATTGTGCAGTCCCACATGCTGGCTGCTGCCGCAGGGCAGGCAGCTCTAGGTGCCAGGATGGGCGCTGGCTCTCTGCAGAGCTCCAGCTGGTGCACCGCAACAGCTTCCACAGCTGGCTCTGGGGAAAACGGTAGCACTCAGAAACTTGGAGATGCCAGGAACTGCACGGCCTCAAATGGGGAGCTCAGCCCTGGCTCAGGGAGCTCCCAGGTCTTGGCTCCCTGAAGTACTGCAGGGCTTCTTCCCTCATCACCTGCAATGTGGCAACCAAGGGGAATGTATCAGCCCTTTTTGTGTTACAGGTATTTTAGAATTCACATTCGGTGGGTCCTGAGTGCTTGTCCTGTGTCCAGGAAGAATGAGGTACGTGGACAAGTGGAGGGTGAGGAAGACAAAGAGGAGCTTTATTGAGCAACAAGACAGCTCAGAGGAGACCCACGGGCAACTTCAGTCCTCACCCAAGATTGGAGCAGGCTCTGGGAGCCAGGAGAGGTCAGTGGGAGCAGACACCCTGATTCTGGGGACCGGGGGTGCCTTCCGAGGCCCCCAAGGTTGCAGAGTGCAGAGACAGTGTTGGCAGCAGGGGTGATATATCTGGCAAGTTGTTCTGTAGCTCCAGTCCTCCCCTGTGACAGGCCCCTGACCCTGGAGGGGAGTGGGGGTGTAGGGGGACCAGGGTGCCTCCAGGAGCGGATCACCATTGCTTGATGGTCACCCCTTGGGCCCCAGAGACACAGCCTTAGGAGGCCATGGCAGAGCCAGGTATATGTGTGCATACACCTGTGATAATCAGATTTTTTTTTTTTAGGCGGAGTCTCACCCTTTCCCAGGCTGCAGTGCAGTAGTGTGATCTTGGCTTACTGCAACCTCCCTTTCTTGGTTTCAAGCGATTCTTGTACCTCTCAACCTCCCAGGTAACTGGGACTACAGGCACATACCACCATGCCTGGCTGATTTTTGTATTTTTAGTATACAAAATTGGCCAGTGTGGTCTCAAAACTCCTGACCTCAAGTGATCCACCCATTTTGGCTTCCCAAAGTACTGGGATTACAGGCATGAGCCATTGTGCCTGGCTGATAAGCAAAATTTTGGCTCAAGTACAGCAAAGATACTACACTGGAAAGAAGTGGGATAATAATTCCCTTGAGTACTGTGTTTATTGTAGTCTCATAGACACATCTATTTCAGTGTCCCTTCATCTCCTTATGACTGACTAATGCAAAACTGAGTATGATGCTCAAAAATGTTTTCTCTTACCAGCCCTTCCTCCCTGATGTAAGGACATCTTATTCCTCATCACACTTGAGAACCTACGGTTATTGTTATCTTATTCCTCACCTTCATGTCATCATCTCCCTCAAATCCTTTCTGTAAGTGGGTGAATTTTAAATCATGTTAGTAAAACTAATCAGCCACCAAACATTACCAGCTGGTGTAACTCTCTTTCTATCCATTGCCACTGTCACTCCTCGGGAGGATTTTATCCCAGAAATATTTCTCTGACTTCTCCTCCTCCAACCACTGCCTGTTACTTGAGTTTGGTCTTCCTGTATTTAACTAGGTGGTGAGCTCAAAGAGCTACAGTGTGAATCCCTGACTTTGTTTCTGAGCCTCTTTCAGGTTTGCCCTGGGGCTCAAAGGCAGGAAGTCTTGCCCTCACAAAATACTGCTCCTTGGTTATTTGGTATCTTAAACTCTCAAGTACATGGCTGCGCATTGGTCCTTACCTTTGCCTTACACAGGCCCAGCACCTGACAGCCTCTTTCTGTCAGAGATTAAGCCCTCAGGCCCTCGTGCTCAGGCTTTGAAGGTCTAATTTTCCTCCCAACTCTTTCCTAGCTGGAGGGGTGGTAGAGCAGGAATAAGAACCCACCTTCTGGCAACTGAGACAAACTGAAACAAAAACACGCTCATCAGTATCTGGGAAAGAACTCAGTCCCATGACTCTTCATGCAGTAAGTCCAAATACTTAATCACAGCCCTAAGAGACAGATGAAAGGGAAGAAGGGAGGAAAAGTGGAATAAGAAAGGAGTGAGCACCATCAGTGTCAAAAACACTTGACCATACAAAAAAATCTGTATTCCTGAATTAAACATTACTTTCTCATATCTATTCTTGAGATATTTTTTGAGTACCTACTGTTTGACATGCGCTGAACAGAATAGACAGAAAACACTAAAGCTTGAACTCAGGTGTGGGAAATTGATGATTTAAAAAGTTAGCAAAACTAAGCAAGGTTGTGTCAGTGACAAGTCTGTGAATGAATAAAATGGAATTGGGATAGAGACCTCTTGAGGCAGTCCACAAGGCCTCTCTGAGCATTGACATTTGTGAGTCAGTAGAATAAAGAGTCGACCAATAATGCAAATTAAAGGCACATTGATAGATTTCCTCTATAAAAAAAAGTAGATGCATGCTTCCCATTTGTATTAGTTTGCTGAGCCACGAAATGGGTAAGACAAATGAAGGACCGGTGTGGTGACACTTGTCATCCCAGCACTTTGGGAGGCAAAGGTGGGTGGATCATGAGGCCAGGAGTTCAAGACCAGTCTGGTCAACATGATGAAACTCCATCGCTATTAAAAACCAAAAAAATTAGCCAGGCATGGTGGCAGGCACCTGTAATCCCAGCTACTTGGGAGGCTAAGGCAGGAAAATCGCCTGAAAATCGCTTGAACCCGCGAGGGAGAGGTTGCAGTGAGCCGAGATCATGCCACTGCACTCTAGCCTGGGCAACAGAGCAAGACTCCATCTCAAAAATAAATACAGAAATTAGTTGTCTCCTAATTCTAGACGCAAGAAGTCTCCTAATTCTTGACAGGACCATGCTCCCTCAATGGATAGGAGGGATCTGTTCTAGGCCTCTCCTATTTCTGGTAGTTCCTTGGCTTGTCGCAGCATAACTAGCCTTCACATGGCATTCTCCCTGTGTGCTGGAGATACACTTAAGTGAAACTTAAACTTGTTTTGTTTTGTTCTGTTTTGAGACAGTCTGGTTCTGTCGCCCAGGCTGCAGTGCGATGACATGGTCTCCACTCACTGCAAGCTCCGCCTCCCGGGCTCACGCCATTTTCCTGCCTCAGCCTCCGGAGTAGCTGAGACTACAGGCGCCCGCCACTGCCCGCGCTAATTTTTTGTGTTTTTAGTAGTGACGGGGTTTCATCTGTCAGCCAGGATAGTTTCAATCTCCTGACGTCGTGATCCCCCCACCTCGGCCTCCCAAAGTGCTAGGATTACAGGTGTGAGCCACCACGCCCGGCGCTATTTACTTTTAGGGGAGCTTGTATGGTCTTGAAGATTACAAATGACTTCAGTTTGGTACTACTGCCTTGATCCATTCGTGGTAGGAAGCCAGGAGTCTCAACCACCACTGCCTTTGCATTTTCAATGCAAACATCAGCATGGTGAAAAGGGCAGATAATGTTTGCATGTGAAAATAATTGTGACTTTTTAAGTATTCCTGGAAAGAGTCCTGGGACCTTGATTTTAGGGATGGCTATGTTGAAACAGGCATTGGAAACTCCTATAAATTGATGATCTTCAATAGTTCGTTTTCTAGTAAGAAAGTCAACCAAATAACATACCTACCAGTGCACAATGTCACTTATGAAGAATTTGTGTGTGTGTATCCATATAGTTACATATATGGATATGTTCTGAATACAATCAGGCAGATCTAACAGTATATATGAGAAAATCAAGAGAGGTAGTTTAAAGGGTATGATATGGCATAAACAAACGACACAAGCAATAAAAAGGAAAGCACTTCTAAAACACTGAGCAACATAAAAGAGTATCACTAAGTGGTTTAGAGGAAAAGAATATAACTCAAAAAGTTCTAATTTATATGTTACCCAAGAACATAACACCTGTGATACCCAGGTGTGAGCCACTGCACTCGGCCTTGTTTTTTTGATGTGCCTTCATTGCTATGGAATTCCCTCTTAGGAATGTGTTTGCTGTAACTCTTGTTTTCTCAAAGAGATTATGTAGAACTGATTATGTTCTTAAAGATATGTGGTAGATTCTCTTCTATTTTTTATAGAATTAGGTAGAATTGATGTTATTTCTTTAGATGGTATCTTTTGA